TCCAAGGGGGTAGCATTTGTGAAGCAAAAAGGAGGCCGGAGTAGGCCAAGAGGCAATCCGGGTTGGTACATGTACTTGGCCAAAAAGAGGCCCAGTTACCTCCAGAAAGGCCTAGTAGTGGAATTTTGCCTTGGGGGTACCTCGGTTCACCTCAAGGCTCATGGGGAGGCTCATGGGCTGGCCGGACTGTTGGTTTCAGCCTATATAAGCTGGGAATTCAGTCCGCCACTTTCACAATTGCATGAGGAGTGCCCATGCTGCCCAAGTGAGTCCATGAGAGCTCTCTTTCACTTGGAGAGAGGAGAGGAGAGCCCATGCTAGTTTGGGAGCTTGGTGGAGGCCATGAGCTAGGAAGAGGAGCTCTAGGGACTAGAGGTAGTGAGGCTGGCACTAAGGGAGGTGATTTGCCATAGCCCCCTGGGGGTGAGGGAGAGAGAGAGGCTAGAGGGAGCCCCATGAGGACTTCATAGCCATGGTGATGGGAGCTTAAGGCAACTTGGGAGGAGGTGAGAGAGGCTTGAAGAAGGATGGAGCCATAGCCAAGGAGGAGTTGTGCAAGGAGGAGGAGAGCCTCATCAAGATTGATACTCCATCTTCAAGATATTGACAAGGTGAGTGGAAGGAAGAAGATGCATCTTCTTCTTCAACTTCTTCTTCTTTTACCTCTTTTTCTTCTTCTTCTTCTTCTTCTTCCTCCTCTTCTTCTCCTCATCCTTTTTCTTCTTCTTCTTCTTCCTCTCCTTCTCCTTCTTCTTCTTCTTCTTCTTTTTCTTCCTCTTCTTCTTCCTCTTCTTCTTCTTCTTCTTCTTCTTCTTCTTCATCTTCTTCTTCTTATTGGGATACTCAAAGTCTTGTTTTTCAATCACATATTAGTAGGTAGTGCCCCGATTCTTCTATGGATGTTGTCATAATTGATTACTTGTGATTGGGCTAATCAAACTCTTGTTCTTCACTCACATGAGAATAGGAGATCTTCCGATTCTTCCATGGATGATCTCTTGTTAAAATCTTGTGAGATAGCCTAGTGCAACTCGCTCATACACTAGTAGGTAGTGCTCCGATTCAACTCACTCATACACTAGTAGGTAGTGCTCCGATTCAACTCACTCATACACTAGTAGGTAGTGCTCCGATTCTTCTATGGATGATTCCTTGTTGGTTACTTGTGATTTGGGCTACTCAAACTCTTGTTTTTCAATCACATACTAGTAGGTAGTGCTCCGATTCTTTTATGGATGTTGTCATGTTGATTACTTGTGATTTGGGCTAGTCAAACTCTTGTTCTTCACTCACACACTAGTAGGTAGTGTTCCGATTCCTCTATGGGTGATCTCTTGTTCATTACTTTCATGGATGATCTTTGATGCAATCTTGGTGATTTGGGCTACTCACACTCATGCTTTTTACCCATACACTAGTAGGTAGTGCACCGCTACTTTCATGGATGATCTTTGATGCAACCTTGGTGATTTGGGCTTACTCACACTCATGTTTTTCACTCACACACTAGTAGGTAGTGTTCCGATTCCTCTATGGGTGATCTCCTGCTCAAATCTTGTGAGATAGCCTAGTGCAACTTTTGTTTTTCAATCACATACTAGTAGGTAGTGTTCCGATTCCTCTATGGGTGATCTCTTGTTCGTTACTTGTGATTTGGGCTACTCACACTCATGTTTTTCACTCACACACTAGTAGGTAGTGCACCGCTACTTTCATGGATGATCTTTGATGCAATCTTCTTGATTTGGGCTACTCACACTCATGCTTTTCACTCATACACTAGTAGGTAGTGCACCGCTACTTTCGTGGATAATCTTTGATGCAATCTTGGTGATTTGGGCTACTCACACTCATGCTTTTCACTCGTACACTAGTAGGTAGTGCACCGCTACTTTCATGGATGATCATTGATGCAATCTTGGTGATTTGGGCTACTCACACTCATGCTTTTCACGCATACACTGGTAG